TCTTTCTTTCTTTCTTTCTTTCTTTCTTTCTTTCTTTCTTTCTTTCTTTCTTTCTTTCTTTCTTTTCCTTGTTTCTTTTTTTTCCCTTCCGACCTTCTTTCCTTTCTCCCTTCCTCCCACCTTGTCTCCTTCCTTCCTCCCTTCCCTCCCTCCCACCCTCTCTACTTCCCTCCCTCACTTCCTTCCTTCCCCCCTTCCCTTACTCCTTCCTTCCTTCCCTCCCACTCACCCTCTCTCCTTTCCTCCCTCCCTCACCCATTTCTTTCTTTTCCTTCCTTCCTTCCTTCCTTCCTTCCTTCCTTCCTTCCTTCTTTCCTTCCTTCCTTCCTTCCTCCCTTCCCTCCCTCCCACCCTCTCTACTTCCCTCCCTCACTTCCTTCCTTCCCCTCTTCCCTTACTCCTTCCTTCCTTCCCTCCCACTCACCCTCTCTCCTTTCCTCCCTCCCTCACCCATTTCTTTCTTTTCCTTCCTTTCTTCCTTCCTTCCTTCCTTCCCTCCTTCCTTCCTTCCTTCCTTCCTTCCTTCCCTCCTTCCTTCCTCCTTTCCTTTCTTTTTTCTTTTCTTTCTTTCTCTCTCTTTCTTTCTTTCTCTCCTTTCCTTTCTTCTTTCCTGTTTTCTTTTTCTCCTTCTTCCTTCCTTTCTTCATCTATATGTGAATATATGTATACATGTGTACGTGTATGTGTATATATGTATCTGTTTAGTGGGCACAAGTCCCCGTCTCTTCCATGCTTACATGTTGTGGTGTGGAGCCTGGGCTTTTAGTGTGCCCATCACCTGAATAGTGACCCCGGTACTTAAGAGGCAGTTTTGCAGCCCTCATTACTCTGAGGCAAACCCCCACAGCAGGCCCTTTAAAGAGGACAGGAGGAGAGAGGGAGCTTGCAACACATGAGCTCTGTCCGCCTCCATGTCCACCTGTCCTTCTTGGCTCCATCTCACCTCCCTCCCTTACTAGTTCCTGCCTTTTCTCTAGCCTCTTCCCCTACCACCTGAATTCCCACCTTCTGGGGCCCCTGCCCCAGGATATGTGGACCCCCCCCCACCCTTCCTGGATTTGTCCTCTGGAGCTGAGCTCTGTGGGTGGGGGGACATATTATCGACTTTCCCCTTAGAAAACATCTAAACTCCTCTTCGGATAGAAATCCCTTCCCATCGAGCGGGGAAATCCCTTCCCATCCAGAGAACAATGATCCGTTCTGACTCTGACTGCGTATCCTTTGGTGGCCGACCTCTTTGTCTTTGGTTCCCCCATCCCAAATGACTTCGTGTTCCATTTCACACATACGAAGCTCTCAGGTGCACCTGTGGGGTACGGCTGTGTTCTCAGCAGGGGGTTATGTACGCCCTTGCTCTGGACGCTTGCCCGGATCTTCACCGTCTTCACGAGCGTGGCTTTGCACGCCAGGTCTGAGGGCGAGCGGCTGCAGTTCATGCAAGCTCTGCAGGAGGTCTGGAGCGTCAACGGGAGAAGCGTGCTCACCGCCTTTGACCTTTCGGGGTTCCCACTTATGTGCGACCTTGGTGGTAGGTACCCCCCCCCAACCCCCAAAACCTCAGAGCTGTGTCTCCTGTTCTCTGTAGGG